TGATTTGTTAATTTTAAAAAAGCAATGTATCAATAGTTTCCTATTGCTAGCAGGCAGCAATCTTGTGTTTTAAGCAGACGTTTGCAAACTGAATGTCCTTTGAGAAATGAGTATTCGTGAGAAGTGCAGTAAAATTATTGTTTTGTTGTGTTTTTATTTTGCTTTTAACTGTACTTAATTTGTAGCTAATATTGGTACTGTATGTATAATTATATTTAATAATTTAGTACTGTACTCTATTGGGATTTTAATTTTTGTCTTCGGATGGGTAAGTTATTTTAGGCCACTTTTGGGTGAAATGTATGAATTTCTCATTGCTGTACTTCAATACAGTAATTTACAGTAGTTCCAAGCAGTATTTTGATATTTAATGATTTAGTAGCCAATGAATTTGCTTCCTTAATATTTTAAAATAGATGAATTGGCTAATCTTCCTGATTTCAGGTTAATGCATAAGGAATACTGGAAACGTTTCCAAGTTGTGCCACAAATTTCTCCTTTTCATTAAGAGTCTGAATATGCAGGCATTGTGATTCAGTGTGATCAGCCTTTTCATCAGTTCTCCCCAACTGTTTTTAACAGCAAGCCTCATGAAGAGATAAGATAATCTTGGAAACCTGGCCATTTTTGTGGTCTTTTAGTTGATATTGCATCAATATGGATTGGACTATTTCAGTGATGTGGGGAGGGGGGATTTGCTGCTTGGGTAACAGACTATCCTGCATATTATTTTACCCAGGCTTCGTGCTCTGGGGAGGACACGCCAGCTTTTCATACAGCGTCAAAGTCCTCCATATAGAGCACATTATCATAGTCTCTTGAGACTGAAGGATCCCTATGTAAAATGGATAGATTTTATTACAATAGTGCCTTTGATTTCTACTTGTCTGTTTAGGGACATTTGGATGCCATGAGTTCTAGACGGAGAGGTACGCCTGATAAACATTTAGTGAGCTTCTGGACTATGCAGTTTTCAACCCTGGAGATTGTACACTTCTTTAAAAAGGTTCATACAAAGCACATTTCCTAAGACACGTGACCCTGTATTACTGAACAGCTCTGTGTTACTGAACAGTATTTGAGAGTATCAGCTTAGCTTGGGTTATCCTGCATCTATTTATAGAGCTTTTCCGCCTACACTCAGCTCTCCTTTCGTTAAATCTTTTCAGGGCAACATTAAAGCAAGCTTGCTTTCCCTCCTCCTGCAGAACATTTCCATGCGCAGCAAATGATTCTGATTTCCTTTCTTGGAAGATGTCTGTAGTAGCATGTTTTGTACTTTTATAGTTGACAACACCAATGGCAGGAGTCAAGATGGTCTACACTACAGGACACCCTCTTGTGCTCACTGCCATTCACAAGGGAAAATCCCAGAAGCTGCCTCTTTTTCTCATCAATTAAACACTTCTCGCCCAAACAGAAAGCAATGGTTGTTTATTTGACAAAGGTGAAAAAGGGTGGTGAACACAAGAGGATATCCTGTGGACCGTCTTGTCTGCTGCTATTTGTGGCGTCAACATTCATACTGCCCTTTGCTGTGTAACACTTGGCATCCTTTTCCTGCTGGCAACACAGGCATGATATTGCGAACCCAGAAGCACAATATCCCACATTTGTAAAATGGAGGCTTTTTTGAAGAATTGAATTTCCTGGCTTTTAAAAATGGAAGTACTGTATACATATACTGTACACACATTTTAATATATATTTCCCTCATGTAGAGTTACCTGGTATCCCGGAAGATGAGCACATAATTTGTACTATGATTGGTGGGGGAGGACATAAGCAAGAATATCTAGGATGTGCTCTATGAACATTGGGAAACTGGAGGTGGTCAAACAGGAGATGGCAAGAATAAACATCGACATCCTGGGCATCAGTGAACTAAAATGGACAGGAACGGGCGAATTCAGCTCAGATGATTATCATATCTACTATTGTGGGCAAGAATCCCGTAGAAGGAATGGAGTAGCCTTCGTAGTCAACAAAAGAGGGGGAAAAGCTGTAATGGGATACAATCTCAAAACTGATAGAATGATGTCAATGCGAATCCAAGGCAGACCTTTCAACATCACAATAATCCAAGTTTATGCACCAACCACCATTGCTGAGGAGACTGAAATTGAAAAATTTTATGAAGATTTACAACACCTTCTAGAACTGACACTAAAGAAAGATGTTCTTCTCATTCTAGGGGACTAGAATGCTAAAGTAGGGAGCCAAGAGATAAAAGGAACAACAGGGAAGTTAGGCCTTGGAGTTCAGAACGAAGCAGGACAAAGGCTAATAGAGTTTTGTCAAGAGAACAAGCTGGTCATCACATGCTCTCCACACTAGAGCGATATAGATTTCTATTTTGGATTACAGCTCCCAGAATTCCCCAGTCATCATAGTTCCATTAATTCTCTCCTCCACCTCTAAACATGTGGAGAGCAGGTAGTACTCATGTCCATAAGGCTGAGGGCAAGGAAAGTAGCCTCAAAGGAAATACAGTGGTGCCCCACATGACGCCGATAATCCATTCTGTCAAAATCGCTGTACAGCGAAATCGTTGTCATGTGGAAAAAACACATTGGAATGCATTGAAAACCGGTTAATGCATTCCAATGGGGAAAATACCTGCTCATCCAGCGAAGATCATTCATAGGTCAGCCATTTTGTGAGCACCAATCACCTGTTTTTAATGCCTGTCTTCAGAAACAAGGGTCGGAAAACAGTGGGAGGCCATTTTAGAAACCTGACGATCAGCTGGGAAAATGGTTGTCCAGCAAAAAAAACAGTTCCCGAAGCAGGGACCTAATCATCGTTAAGCGAAAAAAAACCCATAGGAACCATCATTTTGCGATTGCTATAGTGATCACAAAAAAGTCGTCGTCAAGCGATTTTGTTGTCATGTGAGGTCATCATAATACGGGGCACCACTGTAATCGATTTTGCCTGTTTTGTAAAGAGGCTATGGAGAACAATATGAAAGTCCAGCTAATGCAGCTTATTGTGGTGGTACCTGTCTATTGGAATGACATTTGTTGTATGGAACTGAAGTTCTGGAGATTGCCATCTATTTAGGTCTTTTGGGAACATCTGGAGGGTGGCCTTAGTATGGAAAAGATTGAGTGGCCTGGTTTACATGTCATTGAAGGCCAAGGTTCTGAATATGTCCTGGCATAATGTGTATGTGAGCACTTTAGTGTACTCTATATTGCCTAATTACTCCTGCTTTTGTCTGCGGCTTGTTGAGCACAGAGATGGGCTTCTGTAGTCCTTCAGATGTTCTTGGCCTACAATTTCATAACTTTTAGCCAACCTAGGCAGTAATGAAAGTTGTGCTCTGAAAACATCTGAAGGCCACAGTTCACCTTTGGTTACTGTGACGTGGAAACCTTGGTAGTAGTTGATGCTCTCTAGTAGGTCACTTTTGCTCACCCAGCAAGCCAGAGAAATAAACCCTCCAAAAACCATAGGGGTCTTCCTTTGATTTCATTGTACACAAACATACTAAAGCACTAGCTGCTGCCATATCCTCATGTGACATTAAACAAATTACTGACTAAAAGCTGGCAATCAAATGGTCCACTCCATATCATCTCCTTTACTATATGAAGTAGGTGGTATTTGAATGCTTTTCTCTCCTCCCTCTAGTTTATTTCTTCCCACAATCATTTCTGTCTTTTTGTAAATCCTGATGGGAATTTGAATAAGCTCAACAGTGGTAAACCCCCCATTATTTTTTACTGTGCTAATTGCTCACTTGATCTTTTTCTTTCCAACACAAATCCAGACAAGTAAAGGCTTCCACTCCTGCTTTTTAAAAAAAGTGTCAATGTTCACATACCTGTCCAATTTCCAATGTTGTTTTAAGGATTCAGACAATGATGAGCTACAATAGTACTGCTTAGCATGCTTACTGTATGGCTGAGCAAGACAGCTAATAGCGCACACGGACATGGGTATTTGAAATGCTTCTGCAAAATGTGATTGTGGGGAAGGAAAAGATCAATTCCTGAAGAACAGGGGATGAGAGGGAGAGGATAGTCTTTTGCTTTGAGGAATCCTCCCCCTTGTCATGGTACAGATACTTTGCAGCATGGCACAGCAGTTTTGAGGAGGTAGAAGGCCACCTGGGGAGAATATTAAATCCCTTTGCCATTATCATATTTCCAAGTGGCTGTGGAAGGTTGGTAACCCTAAGCTGAACAGTGACCACTGAAGGTTGCAAATGATTCTCTTCTCCTCAGATGGTAGCTCTTTCCCTATTGACTTCTGCTGAGAAACCCCAATACATTGGCCGTGGGTGCTCCTCGGTGTTATAGGAAGCTTATTCAGTTTACACAGTACATGGGCAGGCCAACGGGAGCTTGCCCAGAGCTTGGGACCATTCGTTTTCGGGGAGGAAGTCACAAATCTCGGCAGATTGTGCTGAGTGGAGGATTCAGGGGCATGTAGGTCCAAAAGCGGAACTTTTTAAGCTTCCTGAGTTTACCTGCTGCTTCCCTGCTGCTGTGAATTTCAGGGCAGTTTAAAAACAATTGACAACCTGTCTGCTGTTACTAGTTTTCTCACTGGGTTACCTTCTGATAAGATTTCTAAGAAATCAGAGGGCTGCCAGAGCACATTTTGAAAACAGTTGGGCTCCATTGTTTCCACATGAAGCTCTTCGCAAAGTAGAAGTGCTGAACTTGAAGAAAACACTAATTAAGATGCCCCGTGAACTTAGGAATCGGCCATTTACATTGTACATCCAAAAGAGCATCTTCCATTTTACTTACCTCATTCCACACATTGAAGTTTGAATAGACTGGTTTATCCTGAATGAAGCATATGTCGGTCATAATCTCAGGCACCATCTCTGTTTTTTTAAACAAGCTCTTGGAAATGTCACTTCATTGGTTTAAATACATCATTCCTTATTTCTTTCTTTCTTTTTTCTCTCCTCTTCTCTCTCTCTTTCCTTTTGTTTTGTATTTTTCTTTTCTTTTGCAATCAGCACCAGACTCCTTTCCACCGGTGTTGGGAACTTTTACACCAATCCATGCTACAGCTCTTCACCCTTTCGGGTCGACTACTCATGCCGCTGGCTTGGACCTAACCTAGGATAAATCTTGGCCCAGCGAGGGTTGGGGGGCGAGCCATGGGCAGCTCAGCCTCATCGCTGGCCGCCGAGACGGAGTCGGACCATGGTTTCACTGGCCCAACCTATCCAGGGCACCTGGCTGCAAGTTGGTATAGGAGTAGCCACAGTGGCCCTGTTTGGGAAAGTGCCCTTATAACACGGCAGCATCAGCACGTGAATCACCGGGCACGAAGGTAAGAAAGCAAGGGAAGGAATTTGATCGTATACCGCTCAGCTCTGCTCAAAATGTAGAACTGCATTACTGTACTTTGTGATCTTTTGGGATATAGCTATGCTTCCATTAAAGATGGCACAAATATTTCCAGACTTCCTTATAGCTTCCTTCTGTCTCTTTATTAAAGTGTACAGTAACAATAATACCCAGTTGTATACATTTGAATTTCTTCTGCCCCATACTACATTAGAGATGGCACAAATATTTCCAGACTTCCTTACAGCTATTTCTGTCTCTATTAAAGTACAGTAACAATAATACCTAGTTGTATACATTTGAATTTATTCTGCCCCATATACATTCTGATATATGTAGTATTAAGATTGGCAGTTCAATGTGAGTTCTCAAGCCAGAACAATATTTTGAAATCTTAGATACCAGCAGCTGTTTTGAGGAGCTGGTATCAAATTTTCAAGGGGATACAATGTAATACTGTGTTTCCCTGAAAATAAGACAGGGTCTTATATTAATTTTTGCTCCAAAAAACACATTAGGTCATATTTTCAGGGGATGTTTTGTTTTACAGTGATGTAATCTTCTTCTTGTTGGTGCACAATGCTGCACAATGATGGAGGGCGGGGTTTCACTTAACTGGAGCTTATGTTTGGGAGCACGGCTTATATTATGAGCACCTGAAAAATCATACTAGGGTTTATTTTCATGTTAGGTCTTATTTGGGGGGAAACAGGGTATGTGTTTCAGACATGCCCTGCCTAGGCATAAAGATCTAAAGCCATGCAGCCAAGACTTTACCTGTGCATCTACACTAGAGATTATCAACTGTGGAGGGTTGGGGACCATTTTGTTGGGAAAAACATCCCTCCTTCCCAGCAGTACTACAAGTAAACAGACGGTCATTTCCAGATTACTGCCCCCCCCAACACAAAAATGTTTTGAGGTGGGCTAAAATGAGATATTTTTTGTTTGAAGGAGAACCATGCTCCTGGAAGGATGATTGTCCCATTTTTAATGATAGCAATGATTGTAATTGCTACTACAACTATACTATCAGGGCCACAGAAATAGCATAGGGAGCCAATGAACAGTTCAATTCCCACCCCTTATCTGTACATTTTAGTTGCGCTGTTTTGGGGGCCCATTTCTTCCTTGGTGATCTCCTGTGGAGCAGTACTATAAAAGAATAGTAATATCACCAGTGGAAGACTGTCAGAAACTCAAATATGTGAACCTCCCTTTGTGAGAATGAGAGTTCCTTCTTCTTCAAGAGCTGTTATAGATTGTGTCTGTTAATATTTCTGAGCAGATGCTAAGAGAATCGGGACATGCGACAATAACCACAGTGATTGGCAGCCAACATCATGTCTCTGAATTGATCAGGCCTTGTATAAATGCTAGTTTAGATTTGCTTCAGTCTATTTATTTCAGCCATTAGCCATAACAGAGTCTATATCCGCTGTGTATAGTACTTCACACAGTTTGCATACCATGATATACATTGCTCTGGTGAACAATCCATTTAACAAGGTCTCCACAGGCTCTGACCAAAATAGATGCCAAAGTGTCTTCTCTTAAAAAGAAAATTCACTGTATTTCTATTGAGAGGAAGGAAATTCTATATTTTGTGAAGTGGCCCATATCCATAACATTTTATATTTCCAACTAAACCAAAACCAGTCCCTTGAATGTGAAGATGGCAACTGAGTTAATAATATTGTATTAGTGACTAAATTGTTTCAAGAACCTAAACTTTCACATTGTATGGAATGCTTTGAAAAATCTCACCTTACTAATGGCTCTCCTAATACGAAATTCATTCATTTTGATGAAGTCAATCTTCCCATTTATAGCCCTCTCCTCTTGTACGGTTGGCAGAGCAGCCTTTTTGGCCTCCTGTATTTCCAATCTTATTCTTCAGCTTACTGCCCAACTCCAGATTTTGGCTTCAATGACTTTGTGCTGGAGAACACTCTTCTCCTTGTACATTCAGATATGGACACTTAACAGCCCTGATTTAGCCAGAAACGGCAGTTGTAATGTCAGATTAGAGAACAGGCTTAGATTAGTATGGTAAAATAGATTGGTCCTGAGGGCTGAACAGCCTATTGGACCAAGCCAGCAGGCTAGATGATGCTGTCTGAGATCGGAGATAGCGTAGAGCTTACTCCCTGCTCCATTCATATTCTCCACCAGGATTGTGAGTGGGATGTTGAGAGTGGGATCTATTGTGGAATCTATTATACCTTTTTAGCTGGCAGAGTATGATGTTAAAAGAAACAGCGATTCAGAAATGTGGAGAGATCATCTCCGTTTCATCACCACCTGCCCCCTGGTTTCATTTCCACACAAATGAGCACTTTGCATGATAAAATCACTCTAGAAGCATTTAAAGTAGAAAAGGGTATCTTTACTTACAGTTTACAATTGTAGTTACAGTCAAAAGGAAAAAAAGTGGAGGAATGGAATCTCTGGCACATGGGGAGACCTCCATGCTTGTTGCTTGGTAAGAGGTCAGAGGAAAAAAGATGGCAGTCAACAACAAAGACAGTGGAGGCAAGCAAGCAAACAGGAAGATGGGGGATTTGAACTTTAGCAATCACGTTAGTGGCAAAGGACAATCACATTAGGCTGTAAAAGCCCCCTTCCACTGATATCTAGTGTTAATGCATTCAAGATTGCTATTTTCTCAACAGAATCCCATGCTTTATCTTAGTTTGGAGATAACAGTGGCATTCCCTGGCTGCAACTTGCCTTCTCAGGTGAGATACATAGGAAATTATGCTTAGGAAGGGTCAGAATATCAGGGAGGGAAACATCCTGCAGACCCACCCACTCCCAGGATATAGATCCTCCTCTCAGGCCTAAATTAAAGGTGATCACAGGATCTGAGTAATTCTAAAGTGCTCGTCCTATGAAAAATGTCCCTGGCAAAGCAGATTCATGGGCAATTATGACAAAAAATAGGCCAGAGAGCAATTTCTTGTTTTTTTATGTATAATTTTGCCCTTTGTGAAGCATACCAATCAAACTGCTGATTAATACAGATACTTGTTCATCCCATAACTTTTCCCTGCAATTAAGATTTTCCTTCTCAGTTGGGGGCTGCTGTCCTACATTTAGTCTTTTTTCAGGTTGAGAGGTATGTCACAGCATTTACTTACGGACTGCCTAAGGTGTTGGCGGGGGGGGGGCTTGGCTATTAAAAACTGGCATGTGACGCGCTAAAAATATTAGAGCCTTTGATTAATGCTTGCTTTTCACAGATTTTTTGCTTGCAGGATGCCTTTGTATCTTTATCTTGAATGGGAGCTGCTGCCTGTCTTTGTTTTAGAAAAAGAGCAGCTTGCTGCTGTCCCCAAGCCTTTGGTTTGGAAAACATTTGCTTTGTGAGTGTGCATGTGTGCATCCCTTGATTTTCCTCTTGCCTGTTGCTGCAAACCCCAGGGAACTTGCCGCTTGCTTGCATCCTCTTGGGCGCATGGGCTTGGGGGAGTCTTTCCGCGAACTAAATCCTATGGATTAATTCAATGTGCCTTTTCCAGCTTGGCCTTGAATTTCCTATGTCAGCAATGTCATGTGTATACTTAACAATACTCCAAGCAAGAAACAAATGAGGCATCAGATTAAAAATATTTTAACATATTAAAAATACTTAAAATGTTAGAAATGAGATGTTTTGGCATGACGCATCAACTTCATTCACAACTCTGGCTTTGTACTACTGTGTTTGTACCCCAAGTTGTCATATGGCACCAAAAGGTCTCATATTTCTAATGTTCAAAGAATGTTTAATATGTTTATATTCTAGGATATATTTTAATGTTTTAAATATTTTGTATACAGTCTTTTAAGTATTTTATATACTTTTTAAAACTCAGATGATAAATTGATGGTCACTGTGTCTTGTTTGAATTTTCCATCTGTTTTTTTTTTTCAATGATTGCAGCATGGGCAGTTAAATAACATTGTGTGACGGGATGTTTATAATACTAAAAGAAACTTTTTATAATCTCTAGGAATTTTATATAGCTGCTAGTTCTTATTTGTGGCCTCTGTGAATCGTACATATTGGTTTTGTAGTGTGCATGTGTGAAAGTTTTGAACATTCTAGAGCTTAAAAAGAAAGACCGTTAGCCTTTTCCCCCTCTCAATGTGCATGTATTGGCATGCAAGAGACCAATAGAGCTTAAAAAGAAAGACCGTTAGCCTTCTCCCCCTCTTAATGTGCATGTATTGGCATGCAAGAGACCGACCCTCTAGGTAAAGGTAAAGATTCCCCTTGACAATTTTTGTCCAGTCGTGTTCGACTCTAGGGGGCAGTGCTCATCCCCGTTTCCAAGCCGTAGAGCCAGCGTTTGTCCGAAGACAATCTTCCGTGGTCACATGGCCAGTGCGACTTGGACACGGAACGCTGTTACCTTCCCACCAAAGTGGTCCCTATTTATCTACTTGCATTTGCATGCTTTCGATCCGCTAGGTTGGCGGGAGCTGGGACAGGTGACGGGCGCTCACTCCGTCACGTGGATTCGATCTTATGACTGCTTGGTCTTCTGACCCTGCAGCACAGGCTTCTGCAGTTTAGCCTGCAGCGCCACCACATCCCTTTTATCTGCTGCTGTGGAAGCTAGTGATGCTCTTAGAGCTTATGGGTTTTCGTGCCTTTTTTGTGCCTGCCTTTCTCTTCTTTGCTGGTTGTTTTCCCTGAACTGCTGGTTCTGTGTTTATGTGGCTTTTATTATGATTGCCATGCCTTCCCTCATCCCCCCCTTCATCTGAGATTTTTAAACTTCTGGTACATGAGAGATTGAGGATTCTGCAGTTTCCACAAGGTCAGAAAAGAACAAGATTCTAGATCAATTCCACGTATATGTATTCTGTCTGATTTTACTGATATTGTTAGTTAACAATTCTATATATCTGGCATTGTGCATTTAAAGAGCTTTCCTAGTGAGGTGATGCATTGTGAGATGCTACAGCTTACAACTGAAATTGTCACCTGCT